CCCCCCTCTCTCTTTTTTAACTGTCCACATTGTCCTGTCCTTACTTACAAAAGGCTCTAGGCTTGGCTCACACTTTAGGTATGAATTTGCATAAGTAAACTTGAGAGATGGCATTTGTGGTCACCTCATCTGCTCTGCAATCCACAGGGAGCTAAGGCTTAGAGGAGACTTGGGCCACCACCCACCCAAGGGCGGGGATGATTGAGACCACGTGGAGGTACTGTGAAAGTCTGAGCTCTTGGCAGGTGTGTAATGAGACCTGTCATCCATGCCTTGCTCACCTGCCCGTCACTCATGTTTTTCCCCCTCAGGACCTTTTCGTGGGGTTGTGAGAGCCCTTCCCAGTGCCTCAGGAGGACGTCTACCTTCCTGTACCTGGCAGTCAGGGCCTCTGTAATGTGGCTTCTGTCCGTCCTGTGGGGCCTCACCTCCCACTCCTCCTATCAGCTTTGGCCTAATTCACCCTCTCACTCATCCAATAGGGACCCCTTTGGTTGTGCTGTTCTCTCTCCCGGAACGCCTGAATCCTTCAGCATCCTGTTCAAACGCCAGTGTGTTCACAACCTTCCCTGACCCCCCACCTCCTCCATCCTCTAAACTACCCCCAGCATAATGTATGAACCTCCCTTACAGCACTGGCCATATTCTGCCTTTAATAATTATATGAATACCAACAATAACAACAGCCGCTAACATTTATTGAACACTCTCCTGTGTCAGGCACCGTTCTAGGCAAAAGAAGTAGATTATTTAATCATCAGAATAACCCACAAGGGTCTTCTGCTTCTGGACAAGACAGAATAAGAAGAGCTGAACTACCCACTCGCCTAAAACAAAACAAAACAAAAAATGAACAAAATACATGAAACTATGGTTTTTTTAAGGCACAGGACAACAGGTCCCCTTAGAAATGGGGGACAGTCCCCCAGAGCTGTCCCCCTGAGAAATGGGGGACAAATGAGCTGAGCCCTGTGATTGTCCCAGCGTCCTGCCCTGAAAGAGCCCCCAGGCTTTGGCACAGGGGGCGGAGCGTGGTGGGCCCCGTAGTGCAGGGAGCAAGGCTAAGCATTGAGGGAAGCCATGTCAGCTGGACTTCACAGGACAGGACCAGAGATGAAAGAGCTGCACACAGAGACAACTCCGCAGAGATCCGCCGGGTGCCCTTGAGCATCTCGCTGAGAACTCGGCCCATACATTGGAGGAAATTACCCAAACCCAGGAAAAGGACCACCCCAAAGGTTCAGAGACGAGTGCCCAGTGCTGTGACAGGGTTGGGAACAGCGAGGGATCCCTTCAGCCAGGCTAGAAAACCTCATAATTCATGAGGCATTGGATATAGTGCTCACAAACATTGTGCCTCACTAGTGGGAATTATTATCCGTGAGCTAAACTCGGCTCTGGTCTTGCTTAAAAAAAAAGAAAGAAAATCTTAAAAATGTGACCAGAAAAGATCAAACTGTTTCCAGTTAACCTGCATCCCAGAGCACAGCACAAGAATTTCATATTTTGTATAGAAATACACAGATATCCAGGACCACCAACAAGGTACAATTCACAATGTCTGTCATCCTGTTAAAGATTCCCAGGAATGCAGTAAAGCAGGAAACTATGACTCCTGATGAAGAGAAAAGTTAGTCACTGACACCAACCCAGAACTGACACAACGTTAGAATTAGCAGAGAATAGCATTAAAGCAGTCATCATAACTGTGTCTTATATGTTCAGAGCAAGTTAAGTAGAGATATGGAAGATATAGAAAGACCCAAACCAAACTTCTAGAGAAGAATATCGTGTATGAGAGAGATACTTATATTGAATAAGATTAACAGCAGATTAGAGAATTCAGGGATAAAAAAGATCAGTTTTAAGTTGAAGACATAGCAATAGAAACTATCTGGAATCAAAACTGAAAAAATAGGAACAGAGCACCCGTGAGCTGTGGGACAATTTCAGGTCACCCAGTAAATGGGTGGTGGGTTTGCTGAAGGAGAGAGAATGAGGACAGAAAAATATGAGGAAAAATAATGGCTGAAAATTTCCCAAATTTGATGAAAGCTGTAAACCCACAGATTCAAGAAACAGAGCAAGTCCCAGACACAGCAAACATGAAGAAAGCCACACCAAGATACATCATAGTCACATTGGTCCAAAGAAGTGATGAAGAGAAAATGTTACAAGTGGCCAGAGGAACAAATACATTCCAGGTAAAGGAGCACAGATCAGGCTGACAGCAGATGACTCACCGCAAACCAGGGAAGCCAGAAGACAATGGAGCAGTGTCTTTAATGTATGGAGGGGAAAACTGTCATCTGTAATTCCATGTCTACACAAAATATCTTTCAAGCACACAGGTGACTTTTTCAGACATACAAAAGCTGACCGATTTCACCACCATGAGACTCACACTGCAAGATAATGTGAAAGGAGCGCCTTTGGGCAAAAGGATTTCCTTACCAGATAGAAAGCTGGAACTGCACTGAAAATGGGAACTGCCACCTAATACACCTAACATGAAATTTACCATTTTAACCATTGTGAAGAGCCCAGTTCGGTGGCATTAAGTACATTCACACTGTTGCGTCACCATCACCCACCACCCGTCTCCAGCACTTTGTCATCTTCCCAGACTGACATCTGCCCCCATTACACACCAACTCCTCATCCCCCCAACCCCAGCCCCTGACCACCCTACTTTCTGTATCTGTGAATCTGACTGTTTACGTGCTGCGTGTAAGTGGAATCATACAGCCTTTGTCCTTTCACGTCTGGCCTGTTTCACTGAGCACAATATCATCCATGTTGTAGCAGGCGTCAGAGTGTTCTTCCTTTTTAAGGCTGAATGATTTTCTGTAGTACAGACCACATTGTGTTTATCCATTCATCTGTCAATGGGCACTTGGGTTGCTTCGACTTCTGGCTGTTGGGAATAAAATTCCCACAGACTCTGACAGATAAAACCAAAGACTTAATGAGACATGATGCTTGCACAGGCTACGTTTTGGTTTGTGCTTTAGCTCCCTGTGCACCGAACAGCGGTGCACATTTGCAGGGAGCTGCCTTTAGGGGCTCAGACGGTGAGGTCCCAGGAGCGATAGGGTACATTATTCACTGTGGCAGGTTTTCTGGAGAAAGCTGGAGAGATGGTGGTAGTAGAGAGAACATGTATGAAGCCGGAATGGACTGCTTAGTTGAGTGAATGGATGGAGCGAATGGATTCATTTGTCTAGAATTTACTGACCCCCGTGGGTGCTGGGTTTTCCCCTTGGAGGAGCTTGTGTCCTAGGGGGGTGAGAGGTGCAGTGAGTGTCCTCACAGGAGAAGAGTGTGGAACATGAGGAGCACAGAGAAGAGAGTGACAAACACGTGCAGAGTGAGGATGCTTCAAAGGGGCAAATTGGGAACCAGAGACCCAAAGGACAGCTGGGAATTTTCAGGAGGACGAGGATGTGGGGGCATTTCAATCACAGAAGGTTTTGGACACTAGACACAAAGCATGGTGTGTGGGGCCGTGAGTGGCCAGGACTGGTGGAAGCCCCAGGTGTGTGGTGGGGGTGGCAGGACAGAACTTCCCAGCTGTACCTCAGCTGGGATCAGCGTGGGAAGGGCTGCGGAGCCGGCGTGAGCAAGTTTGAACGTTCATCTTCTACAATGGGGATCTTCGAAGGGTTTTGCTTCAGATAGTGACACAGTTCAGTTTTCCTCCAAGAATGATAACTGTGGAATGACCAGCCAGACCCCAAAAGCCACATAGAGTCTTTGTAAGCGGAGGCGCCTCTGTGATCTTGAATTGCGTGCTGCAGCTTCCAGTGCTGCTGCTTTGTAAATATTTGAGCCCTTCATCGGAGCCCCGAATTCAAGACTGGCTGCCTGACGAAAATCCAGCAGGCTCCTGTTCGTATGTCTTGCTCCCTCTTCTACCCGCTCCCCACACTTACGCCCTCTGGCTTCTGTCTCGGCCTCTCCCCAGGTCCGAGGAGAATTGCTGCGGGAGAAAGTGCAGCAGCTGGAGGCCCAGGAGGGCTGCTTCGCGGAGTCCCTGGTCTCCCTGCAATTCCAGAAGGCAGCTGGCATGGCCAAGACGCTGTGGGCCTACACCGCGCTCCTGAGCGTCCAGGACCTGCTCCTGGAGGAGCTGAGCGTGTCGGAGACCCTGACAAAGTCGGCCTGTGCGCAGATCCTGGAGTCTCACAGCCCCGTGAGTGCAGGCCTGGGAGCGGGGGGACCAGACTGCACAGTCATCCACTGGTTCTTTGTGGTGCCCACCTCTGGTTCTTCGCCTTTCTTTATTCTTTAAGTTTTTAAATTTTTTTAAAAAGATTTTATTGGGGAATTGGGGAAGGGGAACAGTGTTGGGGAATCAGGGAAGGGGAACAGCCAAGTTGTTGTCCTTCAGTCTTAGTTGTGGAGGGTGTAGCTAGCTCAGCTCCAAGTCCAGTCGCCATCTGGCCTCCCGTCAGCAGCTCATAGCCGCTCATCTCAAGATGCTGTGTTCAGCCTTAGTTGCGGGTGGGTGTAACCCACCATCCCATGCCGAGGTCAAACTGGCAACCTTGTTGTTAGGAGCACATGCTCTCACCAGCTGAGCCATCCTGTCACCTATTGGCAGCTCATTGGCAGCTCAGCTCGGGCACAGCTCACTGGCCCATGTGGGAATCAAACCGGCGACCCTGTTGCTCAGAGCTCGCGCTCTTAACCAACTGAGCCACTTGGCCGGCCCTGGTTCTTCAGTCACCTGTTCTGTCTGGGCTGCAGGGTCGTGGTGAGGACTCAGTGAGGTGACTCACCTGGGAGCACAGTGCACTGTCGCAGCCCCACACAGCTGTTTCATTGCCTCTAAAAGCAAACCTTTGAATGACAACATTTTTAACATCTCTGAAATTGGGGTGCTTCTTATAATCCACCGCGGTATTGCTTCTTTCCCAGCGCTGGGAAAAGTGAGTGCGGCTTTCAGGTAATGGAGCTTTCGATGCAACAAAAGATCAGATGACTGCTAACTTTCATAATTCTAACCATTACTGTTATTCCACTTGCTGCATTTTTCAAGGTGTGAAAAGTGTAGTCATAAAACAGAGGCTCTGGAAGTAAGTGTATTGAGGACTAATTTTAGGTCCTTGACGTGCAGATTAAGAATTTCCTCCATTATCTATTTTTATAATAATTAGAGTGAGGAAAAAGGAACTCGTGTTTATTGAGTGCCAGGGATGTGGCAGGCAGTCACCAATAGGCTGGGAATGGACGGACTCTTATTTAAGCATGAATAATTCTTTTCTTAATCGTGCATCTTAAGATGATCATTTAAGCATAATTAATGCTAAGTTACAATTTTATGCTGCTTTACAATTATGCTCCTTTCTCAGGAAAAGAAACTGAGATTCGGGCAGGTGGCAGGTCAAGTTCTTTGTGACGTGTCCCTGACTAACAAGTGACAAGAGCCGGAAATGCAATCTGCTTCTTGAACCCATTGCCACGTTCATATCCCAGTTGATCTCGCAAACGGAGATTCCCATCATTTCTTTTAAAAAGTTCTAAGGACCATTGGACTCTCAATAGTCCAAGACTGTTTTTCCCATAAACATGTGCCCCACCCTGGGACAGCTGTTTTTAGGGATAGAAAGCAAGTGGCAATGTCACTGGTATTCCAGCAGAGACCATCCAGATGCTGGATAAGGAAAAGTGAACTCACTGTTTAATGCTTTGTGAGCTCACAAGAGAAGGTGGGAAATCCCTGAGGGCTGAGGATATTGGAGAACGCGGAACTCACAGAGGGACCTGAAAGCAAATGGAGGCTGAAAGCCAGGGGCGAAGGAAGAAACCTGGAACCCGGGGATTTGGGGGGTGATGGGAGATGGGGCTGTGGGATGTCCAGAGGGGGTAGAGCAGCGGGTGTGAGGCTGTGAGGAGAAAGCCCCCTGCTGTCAGAAGGCGGCACCGGGAAACCTGTCTGACTGCAGCCCTGCTCCAGGTGGGGGTGGGCTCCCCTGTGAATCTGGAATCAAAGGCTTCCGCTAGTGTGAGGGGGAGTCCAGAAGGACTTGAGCCACTCCGTCAGGAAACCTCCAGGCTGAGAAATTAAAACGGATCCGGGTCGGTTGGCTGCAGGTGTCTGACCGAAGCAAAAGCAAATCCACTCTAGTCCAGACCCCTCAGGATTTCCAGAGATCGAGTTCAGCCAAATATGAGTTTTCAATTAAAATCAGAAAAGTCACTGAACACATAAAGAAGCAAGGCAAGAGGACCTGTATACACGAGAAACAAAAAAACCCAGATAGGAGCGGGGTTATCACTTTGTGTGGGGTGTTAATGTCTAACTATTACATTGTTTTGTACACCTGAAACTAAAAACAAAACAAAACTTTTCTAAAAGGGAAAACCCCCCCCCACAGATTAACATCACCAAAGACTTTCGATGTCTGAGTGATCAGTATAGAATATAAAATAATGATTTATAAAATTATTAAAGAAATTAAAGATAATACTAACATGATTTAAAATTTTAATTCACTCAAAGAGCAGAGCAATTCTAAACTTGCAGGTATGTAATAAAAGACACCCCCCCAAAAGAAAATTGATAAAACAGCAAGGAGAAAATGATAAATTTATTATCATAATGGGAAATTTCAGCACACCTCTTTCTGTGGTTGATCAAATGAAACACAAGTAAAGATGTACATGAACTGAATAACAATTTTAACAATCTGTATTTAATGTACACATATAGAATCTCACAGCCAATAGTTAAGAAATATAAAGTCTTCTTCATCACACATTGTAACAGTTAAAAATAATCGACTATACAATATTGTTTGACCACCTTTTTGAAAAAGGACAATTAAGTTTAAACCAGTTTGAAAAAGATGATTGCCAAAAGTCCGTACTTTGGAAGTTTTAAAACATAGTTGTGAATAATTCATGGGTCAAAGAAATCATAATGGAAATTGAAAAATACATAGGGCCGGCCGAGTGGCTCAGTTGGTTAAGAGTTTGCTTAAGAGTACAAGCTCTGAGCAACAGGGTCACTGATTCGATTCCCACATGGGCTAGTGAGCTTCACCTGAGCTGCGCCCGAGCTGAGCTGCCACTGAGCTGCCAACAGGTGTCAGGATGGCTCAGCTGGTGAGAGCACGTGCTCCTAAAGACAAGATTGCCTGTTTGATGGTGGACAACACCCACCTGCGGCTGGGACTGAACTCGGCATCTTGAACTGTGCTGCTGCCTGGATGGCTCAGTGGATAGAGCGTGCGCACTTAACAATAAGGTTGCTGGTTCGACTCCCGCATGAAAACAGATAAATAAAGAAAAATACGTAGAACAGAAAAATGTTATAATGTAAATACGACCTATCAAAATTTGCAGGATTCAGCTAAAGCTGTTTTTAGAGGGAAATATATGCCCTAAACTTATATTAGAGAAGAAGAAATTAAGATCATATAAAAAGTTAGAGGGAAAACAATAACATATGATGAACCTTTAGAAAGTAGAAGGAAGGGAGGTAGCATAAATGAAATTAAAAACAAAATTGCCATAGGGATAATCAATAAACTTGACATTTTTGAAGAAAGTCTAATAAAATATACAAATCTCTGGCAAAATTGATCATTCAAAAGAGATAAGGAGCAAATAACATCAGAAATATAAAAAGCAAAATAACTATAGATGCAGTAGCATTTTTTTAAATAAGAGAATCCTGTGAACAACTTTATGTAGATGGGTTTAAAATGGAAATGGAAAACTTTTTAGAAAAATATAGATTGCCAGAATTGGCTCAAGAGGAAAAAAAGTTTGTCTAATCTTATTACCATGAAAGAAATTGACTCAGTAGTTTAAAAAATTCTTGTGAAGCACACACAAATAAAACACCTAACCCCAATAGGTTATAGGTGAGCTTCGTCAAACTTCCAAGTAGCAAATTTTTCCAATCTCATGTACAAATTATGCCTCATGTTAGAAAAATAGGGAATATTCCTCAATTCGTTTTATGAAGCTCAGATAACCTTGATACCGAAAGTGGACATGAATCGTATGAGAAGGGACAGTTGCCGTTCAGTCTTACTTGTGAACATAGACATACAATTCATAAACAACAAATCCAGCCATCTATAAAAAAAATTAATACAACATGTTCAGGCTGAGTTTTTCCCAGGAGTATATACGGTTGGTATTGTTCAACATTAAAACATCCATTTGCAAAAGTTACCAGATTGACAGGTTAAAGGAGACAAGGAAAAGCTCATATGATCATTTCAGAATACGGAGAACAAGTATTTCACTGAATTCAACACCCATCGCAGATAAAACTCCTTAGGAAATTAATACTAGGAGGAACCTCTACAAAGTATTAACCCAAAACTCACAGCAAGCATCACTCTGCAAGGCAGTTAGCATGGCGGTGGGTCGATGCAATGAATGACAGGTGACGAGATGAGGCCTTCAGAGGAGGGCACGTTCAAGGTCATGTATCTAGTTAGGGACCAAATAAGACACAAAGAGCCTCTGCTTTCAGTTCACAATTCACGTCCTCATTGAAGTACATGAGAAACAGCCTCCGTTCAGCCCTAAAAACCTAATGGCCCTTTTCACTTGAGACCACCTGATTTCTGTTTGTTACTGGGTAGCACAACACTTAATATTTTCAATTTTTGCGTAAAGCCCTGTTGAGTAACATCAAAGCTTCTTATTTCCTAGTGCGTCTAGAATAGAAGAGTTAGTCGTCCTGAGTTGGAAGCCATGGATAACGCATCAGATGACATCTTACTAAATCAGGGGAAAAACGATGACTACGGGGCAGTTTTTTCCCGATTTGCACTTGGAGGAAACGCAAACCTGTTGTTTTCCTCCAGATATCAGATGTTCACTCTGCAATGTGATCATTCCGTGAAAGCCATTTTCCCATTGGAAACGGACTTTACTATTAAGCGTTCAGGAGAATTAAAAAAGCTTGAAATGGAATTCTTTGGAAGGAGTGACTTCTAATGAGAGCTTTACCAAGTGCACCCCATTTGATGAAAACTTTAGACTGGTTTTGTGAAATTAGACCATGTGCAAGGGCATAACTGAATCGGGGCCAGGTGGCAATGAGGGTGCTCAGAACGGACCATGTGACCCCAAACCAACTACCACTGTATTTGCACTTCAGTTCAAGTTGCTGGGTACCCACTTTCCCAAGTATGAACCTGTGTCTACCTCTGTTTTTCCTTCTGGCGTACTGCCCACTTGCCACTATCACCCAGTCTCTGTCGATTCTGCCTGAATTTTCTCTCTCTCTTTTTCCTTTTTTCTGTACAGCTTCGCTATGCTGCTGAATCTAGACCTGAAAAAGACAAAAAAAATAACACTAATAGAAACTCACATTCACTGAGCTCTCATTCAGCCCAAAGCATCGTGTTAAGTGTGTAAACCTTCCTTCACCCCATTCTGTTTATACCCATTCTACAGATGAAGGAGTTGAGGCTTAGGAAGGTTAAGCCACTCCACCAATGTCTCATAGCTGCAAAGCAGCACCTACACTTTCTCTTCTAATGTGAATTCCCACCTGCCTCTCTCTTGCCCTACTCCAGTCTCACCTTCACATGGCAGCCAGAGGAATCATTCCGAAAAGTAAAAATAACCACTGACCGTCCCAACCACCAGCTCCGTATTTTAAAACCCCGCCCACCCTCCCTTGGACCCTTCATTTTAGCCCCCTGGGCCTTCCTGCCGTTTCTGAGCACTTGAGACGCATTCCCGCCTCCGTTCCTCTGAAGGATCTCTGCCCAGAATGCTTTTCTGCGCCCGCTTGTAACTCCTATCACCCTGAAGTCAGGTTCCAGGCGTGCTGACAGAACACACTGTTGGAAACTCATTAGTGCTTTTGGGAACCCTGCGTTTGGGATGCTGCAGGGAGAGGGATGGCCCTGATTAGAAATCTCAGCGTGTTAGAAGCCCCTGCTCAGCAGTGTTCAAAGGCTTCCATCGCCCGGGGGGCGGAAACCAAGTCCTCGGCACACTGTGACCTCCGCTTACCTCTCTGGCGGTCTTTTTTCTATCCTGGTTTTTGAGTAGTGTTTCCAAGCCTTTTGGGGGTGGGAGTGCTTTGAGACCCTCTGAAATTATGATGCAAACTTTGGCTTCTCTGCAGAAAGGCATAGTATTTTGCATGTATTTTAAAGGATCAAGGACCACCACCCCTTCATGAAGCCCATTTTAGGATTACCCTCACCTTCCACCTGTACTCGGGCCAATCCAGTGACTAATCGGTTCAGTGTGCCTGCATCTACCAAGCTTAGGGCCCTCCTGCCTACCCCCTTGACCCACTAAGCAGGCGGTGGATTGTCTCTTGTCCCCAGATAATTTGATTCTGGTGCCCTAAGAAGACAGACTTCTCTTTGGTCAGTGTGAGGCAGTATAGCCAGGCGGTTAAGGACACAAGCCCTGATGCCAGCTGGCCTGGCCTCAAACTCTGGCTCTGCCACTTGAGAGCTGTGTGACCTGGCGGATCACTTGAACTCTCTCTGCCTCACCTTCGTCATCTCTAAAACAGGGAAAATAAAAGTGTGTATTCCATGGGGTTGTTGTAAGGATTCGATGAAATGCATACGTGTAAAGTACTTGCAGAAGGTATAGGACAGTGAGTTCAGGACACTGCAAAAATGGGGCATTATCTTATTAAGCTCAGGCTGCCACCACAACATGCCATAGACTTGTGGCCTAAACAACAGACATTTACTGTCCTCCAGCTCTGCAGGCTGGAAGTTCAAGATCAAGCAGATTCTCTTTCTGATGAGGGCCCTCTCTTCCTGGTGTGCGGACGGCTGCTGTCTCATCGCACCTTCACGTGGCGGGGGCGGGCGGGGGGCGCTCTGCTCTCTTCCTCGTCTTTCAAGGACACTGACCCCATCCTGGGGACCCAGCCTCATGACCTCACTAACCCTAATCCTCTCCCAAAGTCCCACCTCCTAACACCATCTATGGGGGTTAGGGCCTCAACACGCGGATTTTGAGGGGACACAAACGCGCTCTGCCCGTAACAGGCATGTATAGGGCTGACGAGTGGGCACGTTGAGGAGAGGCCATCTGCGTCTCTCAGGGGACCTAGGGAGCCCTCCACGGAGGAGGCTTATGCCAAGGCTTGAAAGAAGACTCGGAGCTGGCCAGGCAAACAGGGACAAACACCGCAGGTGGGGGGGCAGTGTGTGCAGAGGCACGGGGCCGTGAGATGGAGGTGCAGCGCACTCTTAGCCCCGGCTGGATGGGGGAAGTCGGCAAGAGCGGTCATGCCCGGTTTCCAGGGCCGCGCCGAGCAGGTAGCGTTCCCTCCTGCCGCCCACCTGCCTGTGCTCACCCCCTCCTTGTGCAGGAGCTCCAGGAGCTGGAGAGGAGGCTGGAGGAGGCGCTGGCCCACCAGACGGCAGCCCAGCTGGAGCGGGCCCTGGCCAGTCGGCAGCAGTGGGCTGGCGACGGGCCCGGGCTTCTGAACGAGGCTGAGGACACCGATTCCGAAAGGCAGGTGTCCTCTGTCCTGTGGCGAGCCCTGAGCAAAAGCCAGAAGTTACTGGAGCACCAGCAGCAGAGGTGAGCGGGGGCGCGGTGGCACTGCGTGGTGTCAGGGCCCTACAGCCTGGGCACCTGGCCTCTCACACTCAGCGGGGCGTGGCCCCCGGGAGCTCCTGCCAGGTGTGTCCCAGCACTCAGGCTGTACCATGCTTCTTCCTTAACATCTTTCTATACTTCCTTTTTTTTTCTTTTTTCTTTTAAATATCATGGAGGTTTTACTGAACATAATGTTTAAATTTTTTCTGCTTTGAAATAATGACAGACTCCCAGGAAGCTGCAAAAATAGTGCAGAGATTCCACGCGCCCGTCGCCTGGCTTCACCAGCGGCAACATCTTATGTAATCGTAGCCTGTTATCCAAACCAAGGACCGATGGTGGCACTGGCATAATACAGCGACTGCAGACCGTACCCAGATCTCACCGTACACATAATATTTTCTATCCTGCTTTTGTAACATTATGAGACAGACAGAACTCCGATCTTCCTTTTTGTTGTTGTTTATTGCATTCTTTTTCAATTAACATTAGACAATTAGCCTTTGCCCGTGGCCCTAAGAAAACAATTTTTTAAAGCTTCCTAATTTTCCACCGTGTGTATGCTGATGTGGAAGGGATAGGGTACCAACTGTAGCCACAGGATGATTCCATTTTTAAAAACCCACATGGCCACATTAATTGGAAGGAAATAGACCACATTGTAATGGATGTGGTTTCTGGGCGCTGAGATTACAGGCGATTTTCATTTATTTGATGATGCTTTTCTGTGTAAACAGGACATGAAAGTGTAATCCTGTTCCACTGATGTACTTGTATAAGGGGCTGAGTCCGTGTGATCAGAGGGAAATGCTTAGAAATTTGACTTGATGTAGAGCAGGCTGTAGGGCATTTAATACCTTACTGTACTCCGTGCTTCCTGGATGGAAATGACGGCCCAGCTTTGGCTAAGAATTGTAGCTGCAGAGGGTTTGGGTTGTATTAACCAGCAAGAATGCCAGGCAGGTAATTTGTGATGCCAGCTTGAATGGGCTAAGGGATGGGTAGATAGAGCCCCTCCGGTGGAGGTCAGGAAGCCTGATGGGGACCCTCATGTGCCACCCAACCTCTGTGGTCAGAGCCAAGACTATCCTGGGAAGATGGCCCTGGGTCTGCCCCAACCCAGGGGCCCACAGCAGGCCAAGACCCCAGATCCTGGTCTTGAGCATGGCCATGACAGCTAATACTGAGTGTTTTCAAAGCAGGATCACAGATCATCCTGCAAAGCTACCAAAAAGTCCCCACACACCTCCCATGAAACTTCTAGCTTTGAGGAGCCCTCCGTCCCGGTGGGCCTGCCCCGATAGGTTATTGCAAAGTAGTCTTGGAGAAGTGGTAAGCCTCCTCTGACTATCTCTTTTGATGGATTTAAAAATATATGTAATGTCGATTAGATTTGTGATTCTTTGTTATTTAAATAACTAGAGGACCTTCTCACAGGATTGATTTCTAACAAAACGACACGTAGCTTTTATTTTACTCTAGTTTCAGAGAGGAGCGAGAGAGCGGTGTCCTGCTTGAAGACTTGCTTGAGAGTATGGAGACAGACACATTTGCGACCCTGTATATCCAGGTGAGAATGTGTCAGCCGTGTACTGGCTCCATCCCACGTCACTATCCCTTGTTCTCAGAGCCCACCTTTCCTCACCCGTAGAACGGGGATGCGAGCACCCAGCCGGTGACAGGACCCTGCTTGTTAGCTCACTCTCGGGCAGGTTCTGTCACCACCCGCTTACAGACAGGTCCTGCGAGATCCCTCAGAGGTGAAACTCTTGCCCAAGTTCATACTAAGGAGAAATAAGGACATTGCTCAAAGACACACCGTTCTACATGGTGGGGCTAGAGTGCACAGCTCTCTCCCTCTCCCTCTCCCTCCCCCTCCCCCTCCCCCT